CGCCAAAATGGTGTTGTTGTAATGATGTCATTGTGCATGCGTGCGTGAGGATGTCTCGACAGAATGTGTTGTGACGTCACGGCACACGCGCAGCTCTACAAACTGGAAACAAATCATGCCCAGCAGTCTCCCGATAAACCAAGATGGAGGGAGGGGGGGAATAGACAACACCCAGCTCCGGCCTCAACAGGCTCGGCGCCTCCTCCAGGGCTAAAACCATTTGTTGCACTAAGCAATCAAATGATGGAAAACAAGTGTGGGCATTTGGCTAAGCTGGATATTGACCGCACTCACAATGGGACCATTATGACCAAAGACCTGCAGCATATCTGTGCATGCATGGGATATCCAAAGATGGCAGAAGAGTGGGGGGGTGGTACTACAATATTGCCAGATATTGTAAATGGGAGAAATCCCTTGCTGTCATTAAAGTGTATGTCAGGGCAAAGAAATGCACAGTATATCTTTACTATATATATTCATATATGTGGGCCCTCCTATCCCTCTTGTATTGAACTGTATTGTTGCTGTATTGTCTCCCGTTATATTGTAAAGCGCTGAGCAAACTGTTGGCGCCATAAATCCTGTATAATAATAATATGTTGATGGGGACAAGGGCCTCTTCCCCATAACCGTAGCCAGTGGTTGAGGGGTCTGTGGACGGGGGGGGGGCTTATCGGAATCTGGAAGCCACCTTTAAGAAGGGGACCCCCAGATCCCTGCCCCCTATGTGTATACATATATACAGGTGAAACTCGAAAAATTAGAATATGGTGCAAAAGTTGATTTATTTCAGTGCAGCAACTTAAACGGTGAAAGTAATATATGAGAGACTCGTTACATGCAAAGCAAGATAGTTCAAGCCGTGATTTGTCATCATTGTGATGATTATGGCTTACAGCTCATGAAAACCCCAAATCCACAATCTCAGAAAATGAGAATATTGTGAAAAGGTGGAATAATCTCGGCTCAAAGTGTCCCACTCTAATCATATATTTAAGCCATAACACCTGCAAAGGGTTCCTGAGCCTTTAAATGGTCTCTCAGTCTGGTTCAGTAGAATCACAATCATGGGAAAGACTGCTGACCTGACACCATCACTGACACCCTCCATAAGGAGAGAAAGCCTCAAAAGGGAATTGCAAAAGAAGTTGGATGTTCCCAAAGTGCTGTATCAAAGCACATTAATAGAAAGTTATGTGGAAGGGAAAAGTGTGGAAGAAAAAGGTGCACAAGCAGCAGGGATGACCGCAGCCTGGAGAGGATTGTCAGAAAAAGGCCATTCAAAAGTGTTGGGGACTTTCACAAGGAGTGGACCGAGGCTGGAGTCAGTGCATCAAGAGCCACAACACACAGACAGATCCTGGACATGGCTTCAAATGTCGTATTCCTCTTGTCAAGCCGCTCCTGAACAACAACGTCAGAAGCATCTTACCTGGGCTAAAGAAAAAATAGATCTGGTCTGTTGCTCAGTGGTCCAAAGTCCTCTTTTCTGATGAGAGCAACTTTTGCATCTCATTTGGAAACCAAGGACCCCCCCCGAGTATGGAGGAAGAATGGAGAGGCCCACCCCAAGGACCCCGAGTATCGAGGAAGAATGGAGAGGCCCAAGGACCCCCCGAGTATGGAGGAAGAATGGAGAGACACGCATTGCAAGATGCTTGAAGTCCAGTGTGAGGTTTCCACAGTCTGTGTTGATTTGGGGAGCCATGTCATCTGCTGGTGTTGGTCCACTGTGCTTCATTAAGTCCAGGGTCAACGCAGCCGTCTACCAGGAGATTTTGGAGCACTTCATGCTTCCTTCCGCAGATGAGCTTTATGGGGACGCTGACTTCATTTTCCAGCAGGACTTGCTCCGCCCACACTGCCAAAAGCACCAAAACCTGGTTCAATGACTGTGGGATTACTGTGCTTGATTGGCCAGCAAACTCACCTGACCTGAACCCCATAGAGAATCTATGGGCCATTGCCAAGAGAAAGATGAGAGACATGACACCGAACAATGCAAAAGAGCTGAAGGCCGCTATTGAAGCATCCTGGTCTTCCATAACACCCCAGCAGTGCCACAGGCTGATAGCTTCCATGCCACGCCGCATTGAGGCAGTAATTGCTGCAAAAGGGGCCCAAACCAAGTACTGAGTACATATGCATGCTTCTACTTTTCAGAGGTCCGATATTGTTCTATGTACAATCCTTGTTTTATTGATTGCATGGAATATTCTCATTTTCTGAGATTGTGGATTTGGGGTTTTCATGAGCTGTAAGCCATAATCATCACAATGATGACAAATCACGGCTTGAACTATCTTGCTTTGCATGTAATGAGTCTCATATATTAGTGTCACCTTTTAAGTTGCATTACTGAAATAAATTAATTTTTGCATGATATTCTAATTTTTCGAGTTTCACCTGTATATATATATATATATATATATATATATATATATATATATATATATATATAAAATCACCATGTAAAATACATAAGGGGGGGATATGATCTCCATGTATAGGAAAAAGTATGTGAACCTTTGGACTTAACTGGTTGACCCTCCTTTGGCAGCAATAACCTCAACCAAACATTTCCTGTAGTTGCAGATCAGACCTGCACAACGATCTGGAGTCATTTTGGACCACTCCTCTTCACAAAACTGTTTCAGTGTAGCAATATTCTTGGGATGTCTGGTGTGAATCGCTCTCTTAAGGTCATGCCACAGCATTTCAATTGGGTTGAGGTCAGGACTCTGACTGGGCCACTCCAGAAGGCGTATTCTGTGCTGTTGCAGCCATTGTTTTGTTGAATGACTTGTATGCTTTGGGTCATTGTCCTGTTGCATCACCCATCCTCTGCGGAGCTTCAGTTGGCGGACAGATGGTCGTACGTTTTCCTGCAAAATGTCTTGATAAACTCTGGAATTAATTTTCCCATCAATGACAACAATCCGTCCAGGACCTGAGGCAGCAAAGCAGCCCCAAACCATGATGCTCCCTCCGCCATGTTTCACAGTGGGGATGAGGTTTTGATGTTGGTGTGCTGTGCCTTTTTTCTCCACACATAGTGTTGTGTGTTCTTCCCAAACAACTCAATCTTGGTTTCATCTGTCCACAGTATATTTTGCCAGTAGTGCTGTGGAACATCCAGGTGCTCTTTTGCAAACTTAAAACGTGCTGCAATATTCTTTTTGGACAGCAATGGCTTCCTCCGTGGTGTCCTCCCATGTACTCCATTCTTGTTTAATGTTTTCCTTACTGTAGATGTGTCAACAAAAATGTTAGCATGTGCCAGAGATTTCTGTAGGTCTTTAGCTGACACTCTGGGATTCTTCTTTACCTCATGCAGCATTCTGCGCTGTGCTCTTGCAGTCATTTTTACAGGACGACCGCGCCTAGGGAGAGTAGCAACAGTGCTAAACTTTCTCCATTTGTAGACAGTCTGTCTTACCGTGGACACATGAACATCAAGGCTTTTGGAGATACTTTTGTAACCCTTTCCAGCTTCATGCAAGTCAACAATTCTTGATCGTAGGTCTTCTGAGAGCTCTTTTCTGTGAGGCATGGTTCACATCATAATATATCAACCGACTAAAATATACTCAAAGTCCAACAGAAAAGTGTCCCAAATCACAAACAAATTGTCCATATAATATCCAAATCTCGATGAATAGGTGCTCATATATCCGAAGTGAAGATAAATCCCAGATGCTCTTCATACACCTCAAAAAAAGAAAAATCTAGACATAGTGTATTATCTTAGGTATTAAAAAAATATAGTGCCACACGTGCAGCATGCAAAACACTACGGTGTCACAGCAATCGTGTAAAAAATTATACTTGGTACATATCACTGCAAACCATATAATAAAAGTTCATAATTACCCTAAATTCAGTAATGTCAGCATGTGATCTAAAATATAGGCATGGAGTATCCTCAAACTGGCATCCTCTTGTTCAGCCACTTCCCTTAGACCTCACAAACAGACCAAGGATCAGTATATAGATCAGAATAACATATACATTTTATTGTAGCCACTTACATTAAAAACTGATAAAAACGTCTTCCTGGTCCTGACGATATGTATACAGCCATATTGTGGTATCAGACAGCTTCCTGATCATAAAGATGTAGAACCGCCACAATACTTCCAAGCACTGACACTTCAGCTCTGGGAAAAGTGCCAGGAGTGTACTGCGAGTCCCAGGAATGCAAAACAACAACCGCTCCAGAATCCAAAATGGCCGCCACGGCACTCCCGGGAACGTCAATACGGCACTACGTCACGTGCCCTGGGCGCGTTTCGTCACTTCCGGACTTTGTCAACAAGGATACGGACGTATGGATACAGCTCCTTAAATACCCACTAGTAACAGGGCGGAAACCTTGCAGCGGCCATATTACAAAGTGGAAACTAAAATGTGCTTACATACATACTTTTATGCAGTACTAAATGGCAAGAAGGAGGGCACCAGTACTTACCCAATCCATATTGCCATTCCATAAACTACCCTCAAAAACCCTTTACAACAAGGGATAACCTTACCAACGGCAGCCATTTTGGAAATTGGGAAAAATACTATATGCCATCATATGGCAGGGGGTGACACCACCCCTTCACCACTGGCTGCATATATACAAATAATAACATAATAATAATAATAAGATAAATGCCAAAAAATTAAATTAACAAAAAATATTACATGTTGTACACCAAAATACGTAACAAATATATATATATATATATATATATATAAAAAAAAAAAAAAACTTATTTACAAATCAGAAATAAAACAATTTAGGTCCAGTTCAATGTTAACCATTAGCCGCCCGGCCAATGGCCGTTTGGCGGCTTCAAAAGTGTCTCTGCACTCCGGGTGCACGCCATTTGGCGTGCTCCCGCACATGCGTAGTTTGCGCTAATGCAGAGCGGCGCAGCAGCGCGATCTGTCACCGGCCGTGCACCTCGGACACGGCCGATGACAGATCCGAGTACCGCCTCCCGTTGCTGGTACCATGTGACCTGCTGTGACCAATCACAGCAGGTCACATGACAGTTGTATACAATGGATGGCTTCATTCATGATGCCATCCATTGTATACTAGTGCCTAGCTGTGAATGGTCACAGCTAATCACATGCACATGTCATGTGATTAGCTGTGACCAAATCACAGCTAAGCACAAAAAAAAAAAAAAAGCTGAATGAATCGATTTCATTCAGGTAAATGCTTGCTTATAGCAAAGTAATTCTTTGCTATAAGCAAATTGTGTGTAAAAAAAAAAAAAAAAAAATACTGATCACTTCCCCAAAGTAGTACAATGTTACTATGGTAACATTGTACTACTTTGGTCATAGTAAAATATGAAAAAAAAATCTTAAAAAAAATAAAAAAAAAAATGTAATAAAAAAATTTAAAAAATTAAAAAAAAAAAAATATATATATATTTTTTTCATACTGTCACCAGTCAGTGTCCCTGTTCACCGCCATGCCAGTTATATGATGACGCTGTACTGCACTGGTGACAGTATGTAAAAAAAAAATAGTGAAAATAATTTTTTTTAATTTTTTCATTTTCCGAAAAAATTATGACAAAAAAATACAACTTCAAAAAAAACTCGCCATGCCTCTTATGAAATACGTCGGACTGTCTACTCTGCAAAAAGGGGTCATTTGGGGATATCTGTACTGTCCTGACATTTGGGGGATATCTGTACTGTTCTGACATTTGGGGGATATCTGTACTGTCCTGACATTTGGGGGATATCTGTACTGTCCTGACATTTGGGGGATATCTGTACCGTCCTGACATTTGGGGGATATCTGTACTGTTCTGACATTTGGGGGATATCTGTACCGTCCTGACATTTGGGGGATATCTGTACTGTCCTGACATTTGGGGGATATCTGTACTGTCCTGACATTTGGGGGATATCTGTACTGTTCTGACATTCTTGGACCTCAAGAAATTAGATTGGCTGTCAGTACTTCAGGATTGATCAATATTCAGATCTATCCCATAGTTTTGTGAACTCTATAACTTTCCTACAAACTAAATAATACATCCTAATTTGGGTTATTTTCACCAAAGACATGTAGCAGAATACATCTCGGCCTAAATTTATGAAGAACAATTATTTATTTGTAAACTTTTATAACAGAAACAAAGAAAAATTTTTTGGTCTTTTTTTGTTAATTTAGCAAAAAATAAAAACCCCAGCGGTGATTAAATACCACCAAAAAAAAGCTCTAGTTGTGTGAAGAAAATGATAAAATTTTAGTTTGGGTACAATGTTGTATGACCGCGCAATTGTCATTCAAAGTGTGAGAGCGCTGAAACCTGAAAAATGGCCTGGACTGGAAGGGGTAAAATTGCCCGGTATTGAGACGGTTAAGACCCCTCGGTTTCAGAGTGTTAAGTTTAAAAATCCAAAAGGTTTCATTACGAGATATCTCCTGTACTCTATTACATCCCCTCCAATGAGCATCAAGAACATCAATACCACAAAAACTCAGAACACTGGGATCTGAATTATGAAAATCACGAAAATGCTTGGAAACACTGTGTTCCTTTTTCCCCTTTTTTTTATATTCTCCACATGTTCTTTAAGTCGAATCTTAAGATCTCGTTTCGTTCTACCCACGTATTGAATTTTACAGGGGCATTCCAACATATACGTTACATATTTCATATTGCATGTGATGAACTTCTTAATCGTAAACACTTCACCCGTAACTGTAGATTTGAACGTAGAGATCTTTTTAACTTTAATCCCAGTAGTTTTACATATCCTGCACTTCCTACAGGGAAAAAAAAACAGTTAATCCAAACATCCGTGGTTTTCTAGGGGGGGAGATGATACCTTTTACATTATTACATTACATTACATTACATTACATTGAGTTTATATAGCGCCAAAGGGTTTGCTCAGCGCTGTACCAATAGAGGGGGGACAATACATGAAACATTACAGCAACTACAAACAGCACACGAGGGGTTATAGGGCCCTACTCTTTCGAGCTTACAGTCTAGGAGGGAAGGGGGTAGTGGTACAGGAGGAAGTGGCTGTGGGGGATGGAGTGGTAGGAGGAATGAAGGAGAGCAGCAGTTTAGGTGAGGGTGGGGTAGGCTTCCCTGAAGAGGTGGGTTTTTCAGGGAGCGCCTGAAGGTGAGGAGGGGAAGGTGACAGTCTGATGGATTCAGGGGGGTAAGTGAGTTCCAGAGGATGGGGGAGGACCTGGAGAAGTCTTGCAGACGAGCGTGTGAGGAGGAGACCAGGGAGCAAGATAGAAGGAGGTCCTGTGAAGAGCGAAGGGTACGGGTAGGGTAAGGGTGGTACTTGGGAATCAGGGGTTGGTGAGGTAGTTAGGGCAGTGTTGTGAATGGGCTTTTGTAGGTCCAGAGTGAGTAGTTTGAATTTGATGCGTTGGCGAGGGGCGATAGGGAGCCAGTGGAGGGAGAGGCAGAGGGGGTGGCAGAGGGTGGAGCGGGTGGTGAGGTGGATGAGTCTAGCCGCTGAGTTGAGGATGGTCTGAAGCGGGGATGAGTCTGCACTGGGGTAGGCCGGTGAGGAGGGAGTTGCAGTAGATCAAGGCGTGAGATAATCAGGGAGTGTACGAGTAGTTTAGTGGAGACGTCTAGGGGTAAGGGAAAGAGCGTATTTTGGGCGCTATTGCGGAGGTGGAGTCTGCTGTGGGGTGTTTTGTGAGCGATTTGACATGAGGTTGGAAGGAGAGGTAGAGTCCAGAATGACGGGGGGGGGGGGGGGGGGGGGGGGGGGGGGGGGGGGGGGGGAGGGGGGGGGAGGGGGATAAAACACACCATCTTTCTGTAAAATCGACCAATGTTTTCTGATAATATTCTGTCAACCCCCCTATACAGTGACAGCTAAACATCGAAGTGAACAGGCAAATATCCACTGAAAATTTTACCCTCCATTCTTATTTCTCTCTTCCTATTATTTTCATTCTTCCTTCCATCCCCTATATAATTTCGACTTACTTTTATATCTAATCTTTTTCCAGTTGTTCTGGATCATAGCCCTTAGCAACAAAACGTTCTTTAACCACTTCCAGTCCCCGGACACTTTTACCCCCTTCCTGACCAGGGCAATTTCAGCTTTCAGCGCTATCAAAACTTTGAATGACAATTGCGCAGGTCATGCAACACTGTACCCAAATAAATTTTTACCATTTTTTTTTGAGACAGATATAAGCTTTATTTTGGTGGTAATTTATTCACCGCTGGGATCTTTTTTATTTTTTTGCTATGTAAATGAAAATGTCCAAAAACTTTTTGAACAAAAGTGTTTTTTGCGGGTCTGTGAAATAAATTATATTCTCATCAATAAATCTTTGCCAAAATTTACAATTCCGCTATCTTTTTAGTAACAAAAAAAAAAAACAAAAAAACAAATAGTTTATAACCGAAAAAATTAATAATTTTTAAACATTTTTTTTTTACGGTTTTTATTTTTTATATTATTATTTCTTTTATTAATTTATTTTTTTTACATACTGTCACCCTAGCAGTAACAGTGTCACCATGGTGACACTGTACTACTTGGGGGGGGATGAAGATTTTTTTTTTTTTGAGTTTACACTGATGTTGCTTTTACAAACACCCTAAAGGAATGTAAATCAATCATTTCTCTTTCTCATTTGAGAAGTACTGAGTGAGCTGTGATTGGTCACAGCTTTGTCACATGGTACAAGACTGTTGAGGGTGAATAGGCAAATGTTACCATGTGACCACCTCTGTGATCATTCACAGATTTCACACGTAGTAAGCAAATGATGTCACAAGTGACATCCTTTGCTTACTACTTTGCATTGTGATCACTGATTGGCCAATCAGTGATCACATGGTCAGGACCTCGTACAGAGGTCCCGTCCGACGATTGTGTTTTCACTGTGTCCCGGAGGACACAGCGGGCACCGGATCGCGGTGCTGCGACAGGCTCCCAGGGAGCGCGCACAAAGCAGGGTGCTGGAGGCCATTCATAAACAGCCCACCCGACCCTTGGCAGTGCCACCGTCTGGCCGTTTATATGCCAACGGCCGGACGGGAAGTGGTTAATACATTCTGATTTGAACAATATAATACTTCCAGTGCCTAGTACAATTTCTCATGAATACGAAATATAAACTGGCCTGTGGAACTCCTCGCCCAAATCCACAAAGGATGTGTGGCAACTGCTGGTGTGAATGTACCCATTCCTAGACAGGTATCGATGTTAACGAAAGTTTGTGAAGCGCGGGTTTAGGTGCGATATACAACTTAGTAAAAGATCTGCTGTTGGGTTCTGGAAAGGAAATAGGATGGCCCATTCTGTACTAGTACTGAGTAGTAAAGCTCATTAATCCCTGTGGACATTTCTACGAAATGATTCTCTCAAAATAAATCCCTAAAGTCTGAATCTTTCTCCTTCCCACACTAATCAACACAGTCATCAATATAGCGCCTCCAGGTGTTTCAAAACCCATCCAGTTTCTTACCAAAAAAGAGGTCTTTTCTGGGAGGCAATGGTTCACATCGTGAGGGGGAGGTGCTATCGTTGAAACCAGTAAACCCAAAACAGGTTTGGGGGGGTTTTTAAGGGCAGGACAGCTGTCAGCAAACACATCCAAAATATCATAGGACACTGAATTGGAGGCTGAGGGGCTTGGCTCACCTCCTGGCTCCAATTAGGGTCTGGGAGAAGTCATTAGTGACTAGGGCCTCACAATGTACATTTTTGGCCTGCACTGTGAGCGGTTTACATGTTCTGGTGCAATTAAACCATGGCAACATCCTAAGTTTAAGAGTAGTATTATGTTTCAGCCAGACAGTGTTATCCTTCTGGGTTGCGGACTTAGAGATGACGTTCAGAGCAACATTTTATGGTGATAATCTCACTCATGTAATAAAAACTAAGGGGGGGTAATCCCAGGGGTTCAAATAATACTTTATTCTCATGCAACTGTAATAATACATAAGGGAAGGGGGGGATAATGATCTCCATGTATAATACATAAGGGGGATATGATCTCCATGGTATAATACATAGAGGGGGGGATATGATCTCCATGTATAATACATAGTGGGGGGGGATATGATCTCCATGTATAATACATAAGGGGGGATAATGATCTCCATGTATAATACATAAAGGGGGATAAATGATCTCCATGTATAATACATAAGGGGGGGATATTATCTCCATGTATAATACACATAAGGGGGATAGATCTCCATGTATAATACATAAGGGGGGAAATGATCTGCATGTATAATACATAAGGATGGTGGATAGATATCGGTTGTAGGGTATATATACATAAGGGGGATATGATCTCCATGTAATAAGTACATTAGGGGGGATATGATCTCCATGTATAATACATAAGGGGGGGGATATGATCTCCATGTAATAAATCCATAAGGGGGATATGATCTTTCACAATGTACAGATAATACATAATGAGGGGGGGATATATCTCCATGTATAATACATAAGGGTGGGGATATGATCTCCATGTATAATACATAAGGGGGGGATATGGATCTCCATGGTAAAATACATAAGGGGGGGGATATGATCTCCCATGTATAAATACATATAAGGGGGGGATATGATCACCATGTATAATACACATAAGGGGGGATATGATCCTGCATCATGTATAATACATAAGGGGGGGGGATAATGATCTCCATGTATAATACATAAGGGGGGATATGATCACCATGTAAATAATACATAAGGGGGAATATGATCTCCATGTAAATAATACATAAGGGGGGATATGATCTCCATGTAAAATACTTTTAAGGGGGATATGAATCTGCATTATAATACATAAGGGGGGGATATGATCTCCATGTATAATACATAACATGGGGATATGAATCCTCCATTGTAAAATACATAAGGGGGATATGATCTCCAGGCGATGTAATTTACATAAGGGGGATTGTATCACCATGTATAAAACATAAGGGGGATATATCTCCATGTACTAAATACACTAAGGGGGGGTATGATCCTCCATTTATAATACATAAGGGGGGGATATTGATCTCCATGTATAATACGTAATAAGGGGGGATATTGATCTCTCCATGTACTTTATACATAAGTATTGGGATATGATCTCCATGTATAATACATAAGGGGTATATGATTCTCCATGTATATTATAAAAGGGTGGAATGATCTGTATATTATAAAAGGGGGGATATGACTCCGTTATTATAAGAAAAGGGGGGAGAATGATCTCCATGTATAAAAGGGGGAGAAATTATTGCTATATAAAAGGGGGGAGATCCATGATCTCCATGTAATATAATTACATAAGGGGGGATATGATCGTGTTTACCATAAGCGGGGATATGTTTGTATAATACATAAGGGGGGGATATGATCTCCGTGTATAAAACATAAGGGGGGGATATGATTCTCCATGTATAAACCATAATAGGGGGGGATATGATTAATTAATCCATGTTATAAATACATCAGTGGTTCATATTAGAACTCATGTAGAGTTTCGTTTCACCTGAGATCATCACAGATGGACAAGGGGGCGCTCTTTACGCTCTGTATAAAAAGAGATTTTAACTTCCACATGTGCAAAGGCTTCTTCACAGTAAGAGCGGTGAAAAAGTGGCATAGACTCCCATTTACCACAGCATTTTTTACCGTTTACCTAGCTATTTATAGGTTACAATATCAGGGTAGTTGATCCTGCGAAATGTGTTATCAGGAAAGATTTTTCCCCCTTTGGAGCAAATTGGATCGTGTTTTATTGGGTTTTTTTTTTGCCTTCCTTTGGATCAATTGTGGGGTATAAGAATTGTATATAGGTTTGGAGGTTTTCTATTTGCATGCTTTTTTTTTTTTAATGTTGGTTGAACATGATGGACTTGTGTCTTTGTTTAGCATGAATAACTATGTGAATATGTAACCCTTCTGAAATACAATAAGAGGGTGGATGCAACCTTTGAGAGCCCCAAGCGGATCACACATAATATAATAGAAATACTGTGATTTTCCTTTCCTGCATTCTTTAGCTCAGCTTACCAAGGTGTCATAAGGGCAGGGTCCATGGTATGCCAATATGGGAGGGGGGGGGGCAAGATATATATATTTAAGGCATGAGTCTTGGAACGCCATACTCACAAGCAACCTCCAGCTTACAATGGCAGCACACGCAAGCATCCTACTGCTGGCAGCTCTCTGTGTAGGATCAGGTAAGGGGCACTGGACATCATTAATATTGATGATTTTTTTCTGGGGAATTTTACAATTTTATGATACATTTAAAAACATTTTAAAAAAGCAACAAGTAATTTATAGAAGCTACAAACTTGCCATACCCTTTGAGATGACTGCAGTACAGTTACAATTACAACTTTTCTTTAAAATGGATGCTGCAGTCTGGGGTTTGAGGAAAGATCCCTTACGACCCCCCCCATTATTTTCTTTCCCTCTACCCCTGATATTACCCCCATCCCCCAGTTGCATCCCATTGCCTCTCACAACCCTCTCCAAGCCTACTTCCTTTTCCTTCCCATGTATTCTGGACCCCTATAACCCCACCTACACCACCTTCCCCTCTCTGTCTTAGTTAACTCTCTAAAATTCTTGCACTGGAATATGATTTTCTTCTACATGCCACCTTCACACTCGCAACTGGTTACCTTTTGCGCTAAATATGGCCCTACAGCTGTAGAATTTAGTCCTTTTCAGAACATTTGTTCAGTTAGAGGGACAATTCAACAATTGGTTTTGACCAGAGCGAGCGAGGAAGCAAGCAAAACAAATCAAAGGGAAAGGGAGGAACATTTTTGTAGAATTTAAAGGAAACAAAAACACATTTCTAATTTTTTTTATTCACTCACGGCCAATAAAAATTGTTACTAGTCTCATGCGCATGCACTTGTCAAAGCTAATTCTGAAGTAGAACATTCGTTCTATGAGAATGGAGACATTGACATGGTACTTCAACAAGAAAGTCAATTGAAATTAGTGGAGCCCATGAAGGCATCACCAAACGGTCAGCCAAGAGATCTTTATACCTGCTAATCCCAACAAAATTATACAACAATTAATAAATGTATCATGTCCAGTTTTATGCCAGAATTTTTATATGTCTTAATATACTCATCCTTGGCATTTACGTGACAACTGTGTTGCTGCTGCAATCTGCAATATATACATAAGTAAGAGAAAAAAAGGTATATTAAAAAGATGGATTAGAAAACAGTTTATTATATTTAACATGAACAATATTTTTTTTAACATATGAGGGTTACATTTACAAAGCTGTTTTTTTTTCTGTTCTGATTTTTTTGTTTTTTTTTTTTTAAAACCAATTGATACCAATTCAAAAACACCCATAATACATGTCACATCTGTATGTGGTAGTAGTATGTAGTGCTGTGATATCACTGTTAGTGTTTCTTTTAATAAACCTTCATGAAAACAATCAATGTAAACGTCAATTCACAAAGATTATAACCCCTTAACCACTTTATCTCTGGAAGAAATTGCTCCATCTTTCGCACACATTGTAAAATCGGAATTTTTATGTTCAAAAGATTTTATTTGCCCGAAGAGAGAAAGTGCAGCATCCGCAAAACATGTGATGAACACATAAAAAAGGCTGTATGCAAAATTTAAAAGTGTGAGGGTCCTACTTGTCATGCTATATAGTTGCATAAAAAAAATTGCATTTTTGGTAAGAAAGCAAAAAAAAAAATTATGCAAAACCCCTAAAACATAATATCTTTTGGGAACACTGACGTCCTGTACAGGGGTGGACTACTCATGGGGCCCCCGGGCAATAGGGGATCATGGGGCCCCTGTGTCCTTGCCCAAACTCAATAAAGCCTATGAAAAAGGTACCAGGAGCAACTCATGGGGCCCCTACTGACCCCGGACCCAAGTTTCCAAATGGTCAGTCCGCCCCTGGTCCTGTAGAATAAATAGATGGTGGATGTCAAATTTTCGTTACACAATATTTGTGCAACTGTTTAATAAACCTACATTTTTTCAGGAACATGAACAAGATCCC